CCCCCCCCCCCAATTAAATTGACAAACGATATCCATCGGCAATTTTAACGGCAACGTTTCGTCGTAATTGCCACGATAAACAGTTTGAGCAAAATAATTCTTTCGTGACGATCTTTAAGCTCGGGAGGAAAATGTACTATTGGCCCGGAAAACAAATGCCACTCGCCATTTGATCTTTTATTACCGGATACGACCACCACTACCGAAACACGACGTATGCTCGTAGCCATCATTCGAGTTTTTAAGCAAAGAAAAACTAGACCCCTATTGTAGATAGACCTATTAGATCTCCCTACCTCTCTACCTCCCTACCTCCCTACCTCCCTACCTCCCTACCTCCCTACCTCCCTACCTCCCTACCTCCCTACCTTCCTACCTCCCACCTTCCACCTCACACTCCCTTCATGCGAGCAAAAACAAAGCGTTGGATTTAACGGGGAATCAATTGTATATCAACAGGTCGGGCCGGGATCGCAGAGGCCACCTCTACCTTACGACTACTACCGCTCGAATCCAACGAGCCCGACGCAGCAGCCGTACGCAGCGGCCCCGAGAGCTGCCTATCATCCGGTGCTCCGGGGAGGCGTGCCCGTGTTTCCGCCGCATCAGTCGCCCCAGGTTAAGCGGAAGACGAGCATGGCCACGCCGACAACGCCCACATCAACGACTACGACGATGGCCAGTGGCCCCGTGGACAACCGGCGCCGACCTATGTCGTTCGTGCGTGCCCTCGAGATCACGGACTCGATGGAGATGGTGCCGTCATCGGGCGGTAGCGGTGGTGGGAGTGGCGGCGGTGGTGGGATCGTAGCTGGCGCTGGTGCTGGTCAAGCCGATCCCAGGTCCTCGAATCAGAGGCCGACGTCGCCGACGCCACCTGACCGCGCTAGTGTCTACGATATGAACTACGAGATATCGGTATAGCGCAGCTGTTACGTCTCCCCGCCGATATGTGGCTGGAAGGAGATGAGGCGCGACTCGCCCAACCTATTCCACTTCAGCGCCAAGGAGGCGAGCAATTCGACGACAAAGACGTTGGCGACGAATGCAACGACAGCCCCGGCTACTACGAGAACGAAGACAAAGACGAAGACGAAGTCAAAGACAAAGACGAGGACAAAGTCGAGAACGAGGAAGGGGACGGGGACGGGAATGGGGACAGGGATAACTACGACGACGAAGACGACGACGACGACGACGACGACGACGACGTGGACAACGATGACGACGACGACGACGAGCAAGGCCAAGCCCAAGGCGCGCGAATGTCAAGTTTCTGTCTAATTAACGGCCTGCGCGAGGAATACTCGCATCGTTAACGAAGTGCAAACGAAGCTCGCGATCGACGCTATTAACTTCCTGTAGTATTTTTTTAACGAGCTCACTATTGGACCCAATCTTGTCACGTTAACCGTACTAAACCATTATGTTTGTATACATTTTATAGCTGTGGTAGGTAGGGTGCGCCGGCCGAAGCGAGACGTAAAATGTGTGTACAAATTAACGGGGACGGGAGAGGAAATGTGTCGCGTAGTGCTCCTAATAGTGAGCGAGAAAAATGTACGAAGGTACTATAAGAAATGATTAGTTTTTCAATAGTGAGTACTTACTACTGGGACAATCGCACGGCTTTTCAAACTCGGCGAGGGACGAGACTCGCGAGATGGGAGGCGAGTAGAGTAGAGGCGCCAGACGCCCCATTAAGACGTTTTACAGCCATTTTTTTCAATGAAAATGTGCAATAGACTGGATGAGAGGGGAGGAGGCAGGAGGCAGGAGGCACGTGTATACGCAGTGATCGGCGGTCGAAGACTGAGTACATTTTTTTTTATATTGGAATTGGGACTGATGCTGCGACAAATGTAGTAGGCTGGTCGCGTTTGACATCATGTTGTTCGAACTCTTTCTTTCGCTGAACTCTTTTTTTACTCGACGGAGACATGTCCTGTTATATATGCCCAATTTTTCCTTTTTTTTCTTTTTTTTTTCTTTTCTTTTTACATATAGTGAATACTACTTGTTAAGGTCAGTTAAAGTTTTATACAATTTCGTTGTCGAGACTCGGGTTTTTCTTTCTTTTTTTTTTCATCTTTTTTTATTATTTTTTATTATTATTACTCTTTCGTTATGCAATGTACGCTATGAACTTGATGAGCGGTATATGATACAAATAAGCGTGTGCGCGCGCGCATAAACAGCGGTATATACCTGCATGCACTTCCACGCACTATACGTATTACACACGCATATATATATATATATAGTTTGTGTGTGTGTGTGTGTGTGTGCGCGCGCGCGCGTATGCGTGCGCGCGCGAGTTTTATGTATGCATGCGTTTGGGCTTGCGTGCGTACGCTAGCGTATGTATGTATGTATGTATTGGTTTGGGCTCGCGCGCGCGTGTAAATCGTAACGTTTACAGTATACAACTTATAACATACATCACAGAGTTAATGTAGGAAGGCAGTCATCACCGAATGTATAGATTAGCATTTAACGTAAAATGAGAGATTTATTCGCCTCTAAGATTTTCGCGAGTTACTACAATATAGTTTCTTTCATAATTTATTTATAATATTACGAGGAATTCCCATTAAAACCAACTTGCGATATAAATTATTTTATTCATCATTGATTGTTTTTGTTCCAAGCAATTTTTTATGCCAATATCAATTACGCAAGCATAAGCGATAATGTGCAAGGTATAAACGATAATCAAAATTTTAGAAAAAGACTAATGATAACAACTATCATTATTGTTATAAATTGTATAATGTACAATGTTTATAAAATTTAGAATGTTCAATATATACAGATTTTTGATCAACCTGCTTGATTTCTATCTTTTTTCTACGTAATCATTAAGCAAAATGCATTTATACCTGAATAATAAAAAAAATAAAAATATATATATACAAAAAAAAAAAATAAATAAATAAATAAACGAAAACAATGAAAAAAAAATAAAAATAAAAAAAAACTAATAAGTAAATAAATAAACGAAAAGAAATGTCTGATGTCCATTAACAGAGTTACTTAACCGAGATAAGTCATCGTGAAGTTAGATTAACGAATTTTGTGTAAAATAATTGTGAATTGTGTAGTAAATTTTTAATATTCATGCAACTATTTAATGAGAAAAATATTTATACATTGAACGTGGCGAATCTGGAATATTCTTGTACGATTGTGCCCGTTTTGCTCACGGACGGACAATGATCGATGCTTTTATCAGTGTGTCCCGAAATCAATACGTTAATCTTCAAAGGTGTGCGAGTTATGCGAGGAGCATGTGTGGGTGTAATGCGTTTAATGCGAAACAGGCGAAAGACTGTGGACTTTAGCCATACGAAAGTACATAATTAAAACTGCCAGATATGTAGTTTATTGGCGGTAAAGTGACATGAAGCATTGCAATTTTTGTTGAAAAGGAAGTCGATCAATTTGTAATATATACGTATACAAAAGTAATTTATATGAATTAACTCATTGTATGCTGACATTTGTCTCGCATTCGAGGATTCCACTTTTTTTATGTGTAAAAAAACAAAGCTTACGTCGATGATCGAAGCTTCGGAGATTCTCGAGTCTCAAAATGACAAAAATAAGGGAAATGGAGGAGAGAGGCGAGAGGAGAGAAGAGACAAAAGAAAAAAGAAAAAGAAAAAATTAACGAGTGAAAAAGGAGAGAGGGATGGAATGAAAGAAAGAAAGAAAGACCAAATCATACACAACAGTGTAGTAGCACCCGTTTCAACTCATGCATAGTGGAACCGTGCCAAACATAATATTTTTACATTTTCATTTACAATTTATGTATATCTTCCATATAATCGGTATAACATTTCTTCATAATTCTACAATTTGAAATTGATAATTGAAAGTGAAGATAATTGAGCGAGCTTCGACGACTATGATCAAGAAAACAAAGTAATAAATCAGCGATGACACAACAAATTGTACAAGATGCGACGAACGTTTTAGTGTTTGTAATTTGGTGTACTTGTACATAATGCTCGTTATCGGTAAACTTCGATGTAAATACGTATACATTTCGGTACTTTGCGTATCGTCACTATTCTATGAAAATAAAAACGACGTGTAATTATAAGTTTCTTTTCTGCCTTATTATCTGCATAAAAAAAAAAAAAAAAAAAGGGAAAGGAAAAAAAAAGGTGCTTTGAGAATGAAAATATTTTTTTTTACAAGTATATTTTTTGGTAGCTAGAGGTACAAGTCGACGAGTACACCTTTATCGTTTAAATCCTCAAATTGCAGGAGTGACAAAGTTTCAGATATTTTTGTTTGGTGTGATTATTATTATTATTATTATTATTATTATTATTTTTTTTTTTTTTTTTTTTTTTTTTTTTTTTTTACTAAAAAAGAGAAACACAATGTATAGTAAAAGATTCAGTGTTTTATTTAATGAACATATACATAAATATAATAAATTTGTTTTTTAAAAATTATTTTTTCATTTCATTGTTCATTGTACCTCCTCGTTTATTTATTATCATCGTTTATTACTATTGCGTCGTTTACTTATATGCACATTTTTCGTTTAACCGAGAATATTGTGGCTGGCCGGCCGAGAGTAGCTACAAAGAAGAAGAAGAAGAAAAAAAAAACTACTATTTTAATAATAACAATAATACCCGTACGAGCCTTTTTTGCCTATGAATATATATTTTATCACGACGGGCCAGCCAATGTCGATGCATAATTGAGAAGAGACGCAGCCGCCTTCTTCGTCCATTCCCCTCGACGCGATCAGTCGCTCAACACCCCCCCCCCCCCCCCCCCCCCCCCCCCCCCCACACACACACACCCACACACACACTCCGCCACCACAACCACAACCACAACCACCACCACGCCACAGCCATCGGCCACCATCCCATCCAACCATTAAAAACCAGAGCTAGCACGTAGTTCGAGGAGAGGCTGGCGCTTACATGCGTGTATAGGTGCATTCTCGTGTAAGGAATGCAAGGGGACGCGTATGTCGAGCTACATCTAGCAGACTCGCGAGGAATCATTGATTTTTTTGCAGCATCAACAAGTAAGCGTGATACGTTCGATTCGCTTTGAAGTGTGGCACGCCGCAGGCGGCCAACGTAATGCCACGAGGGATACCGTCCCACAGGCCGGTTAACGTAGCTACGTTGGCGGCCGTGGAATGGCGGCACATAACTAGAGTCTCGCGAGCACCACGCAGATGAAAAGACCGAGGAGGCGGCTTCGGCGGAGGACTTTAGCGCTGTGGTCGCCATATTTATACACACGGCATTCAATACGCACAAGTGCACGAATTTTATTAATTCGTAAGTTACGGGAATTTGGTGGAGGCAGGTAGACGACGGTCGTGAGCCGTCAGTTGCCAGTCATGTAAGTGAATAATCTTTTAACATTCATATTCGCTCGATGTTTCTAATCTATTCGCTTCACTCATGGCAATTCGTTTCATTAATCTCCGTGTGAAATAACCAAACTTTAGGGCACGAAGCCGGAAAGACAGTACTGGTAAGAGCGACTCCGAGGTCACGGATAAAGAGAATAAACGAGCGAGGGAGAGGAAGAAGAGGTCGGCGTCATCGTCAAGTAGTGGGAGCAGGTAAGAAGCTTGCTGGCAGAATTTATGCTCTTTCGCCTCGATTCGCATTTCGTCGAGCTTGGGGATTGGAGATAGGAAAAGCCACAATCGCGATGGAGTTGATACTTGTAGTATTTGCTGGTCACCTTGGTGATTGAGGGTCGAGTCCGTCGCCGAGAGCGCGCATTTCATTATTGTTGATGAGTAATTGCTCCAAGCTCGAGTCCTTTGTGGGAGGAGGAGAGGCAGGGCTTGATAATTTCAGTCAACTTACTTAGTCGATAGCTAGAGTTAGCGCTGGAGAGCTAAACGGTGGCAAATTAAAGAGCATTGTACGTTTTGTTATTCCAGCTCCTCCGATAGTAGCTCGGCATCTTCGAGCTCTAGCAGCAGTGGAAGCTCTAGATCCAGTTCCTCCTCGAGCTCTTCGTCGAGCAGCTCAGGCAGCTCGTCGGCCAGCTCTCGTGACAGGGGACGCAAGCGCAGCAGGAGCAAAAGCACAGATGTCAGAAGACACGAGAATAAAGAGAAGGAACGTGACAGGGATAAGGAGCGTGACAAGGAGAGAGAGAGGGAACGTGAGAGAGAGCGTGAAAGGGAGAGGGAAAGGGACAGGGATAGGGATAGGGACCGTGAAAGGGACAGGGATAGGGATAGGGATAGGGATAGGGAAAGGGAGAGGGAGCGGGAGAGGGAGAGGGAGAGGGAAAAGAAGAAACCCAATTCAGTTCCAGAAAAGCCAAAACCAAAGCCTAGATCCAGGTACGAATTTGACTATTTACAACGTCGATTACAATTGAGAAATTATCGCTCGATACGATTATTAAAGGATTATAAAGATTCCTTTGTATTAGAGATGCTCTCGATAGATTTCCCAATGATTCCAAGTGTTAAAGATTTATAGAAGTCAACTAGTACTTCTATACTATGACACGTAGTATAACTTGTAATAATAATAATCTTGGGAATGTTTGTATATATGGTATAATGGGATATATTATCAAAAAATTTCTAGGCACTCTTTTGTTTATAGATTATATCAGCCGATTAATCGACCATGCTATGTGAAAAACGTAGGCGAACATTTTGATTTTCACACTGTAGTCGATGAGAAATATTAGATATAAAAAATGGTATTGATTGACACACACGCACGCACGCGCGCGCGCGCGCGCGCACACACACACACACACACACACACACAAACACAAATATAAAAATATATATAAAAAATATTGAAAGAATAATGTTTGTACATACTTTTAAATCTGCACCCTTAGCCTTTACTCGCGATTGTCGCCAGGATTTTTACTTTTTGTCAACTGCATCGCATTAAATTCATCTAATAACAGTTTAGATTACAAAAATTTCCTCCTAAATGCCAAATGAAGTACAGTAAAGTACACAAAGACATTTCATTCCTCAACGACAATACACTCCCCAAGATTAATTATATTATTTAAGTTGTAATCGACATAATAATCGACGTTGTAATCGACATTACTGCCTGATTACGAAACTTGCTAATTACGTTTGCCCTCTCATTAGGACTCCGTCTCCTCGTCGAAAACGCAGGGAAAGGTCACCCATTCCTAGACCAACGAAAATTCATATTGGCCACCTGACGCGTAACGTCACCAAGGAGCACATAATTGAGATTTTTTCAACATACGGCAACATCAAATTGGTTGATTTTCCTCTCGACAAATTACATCCCACCCACGGCAGAGGATTCGCGTACGTCGAATTCGAAACGGCCGATGAAGCTGAAAACGCCATGAAACATATGGACGGAGGTATGTATCGTCCCACTATTCATCAAGTACACGGATATGCCCATTGGATGGATATTCCATCGTTGTGGCGGATCGTATGTCGTTACTTGTTATTATTCTCCAACCTACCGCCAATGCCTGTATGGCAAAAGGAGCTTGAAAGCTTGAAAAGGACGGTATATTGGCCGGTGATCGTTGTAAAGTATTTGTGCGAGTATGAGCAAACGCCCAAGGACGAAAGGCATTTAAAGGAAAATTTATCAGTCGATGAGTATTGAAGAGCAAAAGTTTAGCGAACGTGCGCTCAAAGTAATTTCACGGCCTCTCCTATCGCGTCGTTATTGAGGAAGGAGACAAAAACAAACAAACAAAAAAACAAACAAAATGTCCAGCACCCGTAGAAATTAATACGTAACGTAATTAACGTATCTCATTCATTTAATATTCGTATCTCAATATTCGAAAGGATCTGCCTGTTATTGTTATATGGAAATGTTAATTTCCAGTACTTGCATTTTATCGGGCGTTTCGAGAGGTTTCAAGCGATGGTTCGTTGGTCTATCGCCCGTGGTTTCATTAAAAGCCCGATGTCGAGGTGGTGTATGCAAATATTGTATTGTTATTGTAATTGGAAGTTTGAGCAAATAATGTATACACTGTCGTAAATGTAAATTAGTCGTAAGCCATGCGTTTCTCTCTCTCTCTCTCTCTCTCTCTCTCTATCTCTCTATCTCTCTCTATCTCTCTATCTCTATCTCTATCTCTATCTCTATCGCAACTCTATATAACCCTACGTCCCCTCTCTTCACGGGTGCGCGTCGCTTTGACTCTCGCTCATCGACTGGCCATTTTTTCTCCGACAAACTTCAAGATTTAACGTTTTAATACGAATTTAATAGGAATAGTTCAAGGCTCTCGGAATATCATAAAACGGAAAGTCCTTTAACAGAATTGCCAAAGACGCTACTCGGCAATCCGGTAATCGGGACTCCAACTCACCCGCCATTGGGCTGCCTGCATACCGCATGGTTCGTCAATGGACGGGAAGAGCCCGGGGGGGGGAGACAGTGTGTGTGTGTGTGTGTGTGTGTGAGAGAGAGAGAGAGAGAGAGAGAGAGAGAGATGAAACGGAGCTCGTACGACATGTCATGCTTTGATAAATGTTGTAGGTCAGATCGACGGCCAGGAAATAACCGCCGCGCCGGTGCTGCTACCCAAGGCCCGACCACCGCCCATCCGTCGCATGTCCCCGATGATGAATCGAAGAGGCCCGCCTCCGGGCCGTTGGGGTGGCGGCGGAGGCGGAGGCGGCGGTGGTGGCGGTGGCGGTGGCGGCGGCGGCGGCGGTGGCGGTGGAGGTGGAGGAAACCGGAACTCGCCGCCACGCTACAGAAGACGCTCACCGCCGATGAACCGACGCGGTCGAAGCCCCGCAAGGCCGCCCCGCCGTCGGCCTCGCAGCCGCTCCAGGTCACCCATGAACAATCCCCGACGCGACAGACACCGCCGCTACACGAGATCGAGCTCCAGCAGCTCGCGATAGCCCGCGCGATAACTTATTAACTTTGACACATTGACGCGGCCGGGGATCGGGATCTTCACGGACGTCCGAGCACCTGGTAGCGGGCGAACGAGCAGGAGGAGGAAGAAGGATGAAGGATAAAGGATAGGGAAGGGTGTGTGTGTGTGTGTGTGTGTCTGCGTGCGTGCGTGCGCGTGAAGAGAGGGGGACGATTGGGGGCGGGGGAGGGGGTGGGAGATAAGGATGCGTGCACGCATGCATGCGTACGTACGTGTATGCGGAAGAGATGCTTTTCCTTTGTCCGATGTATATGTGTACGCCTGATTGTTGTGTAAGCATTGTGTTGCGAGGTGTCGCGCCCTTTCACCCTCCTGTCGATGAGTTTTCTTAAAAATTTTATTTTCTTGATGCTGCAACCCAAGAACCTTTTCTTTTTCTATTCATATTTTGTACACGATAAAAATGACTAGCTTTTTAATGTCGAGTTTGCGTATTGGGACGATTGTTTAGGTTAAGAGTTTAATGCGACGATTTCATTAATATTTGTATTTACTTTAACGATTCGGCGGATCCACGTGACTCGCTCAAATTTTTCATACACGTTCGACGTGGACGCCAATGTTTGTTGAACCAATGTCAAACGAATTGTTGCAAAATTGCAAAAGTAGAGTGTATGAACATATAAAAGAAAAACGTATTATTACTTTTTTCTTTCTTTATCCATTTCTTCAAACTTATTCATCACGCTATCGATTACAACACACACACACACACATATATATATATATATATATATATATGGTTAGTCATTTTTATTATTTACAAATATTCAAAAAGTATGTCATAAACGATCGAATGGTATTTCTTTTAAAATCAATGAGAGCCATAATAACGTTTGTGATGGGAATCACGAGTTCGATCGGACTCAACAGCAATGGGAATGAAGGGTTAAATGTTTTTCTGTCCCTTCAATAAAATTTATATTATTTGAAAGACAGGACTTTGGATTATAAAATTAATGCTAACTTGAAAGTGAACGATTATTCGCGTCTCTTAATCTTTGTTTTATACGCAATTTATCATGCATGGCATTTTAGTAATAATGAAAAATTTTCACAATTGTAGTTGTAGCTCGACGAAGAGAAATTTTTACATGAAAAAGACAATGGTTTCGTAAATGCGTTAAATCGAGATAAATGGAAATGTACCGTAACTAAAGTTGTCGTTCGTAAGAACTTGAGAGAGAGAAAAAGATAATCAAGAAAAATGTACCCTTTCCTTTATGTTGCAATTGAGTTCTTACGCGTACACATACACTTAACATTCTATGGAAATAAAATAATAATAATAATAATAAAAAAATAATAAACAAAAAAAATTAATAATAATAATAGAGAGAGAGAGAGAGAGAGAGAGAGAACAAAAATAAATGTAAAAGCTATCGTCTTTAATTATGAAAAGCGACAAAAATTAGATGGAAAGTAGTGATGTATGAAAGATAGGGTGAAATTGTAATTTTTGTTAGATTAATTAAAGAGAAGATAAAAAAAATAAATTTGTAAACGTGACTCATTTCTAATAAGCTTCATTATTTACAAAAAAACTTAAACATTATAATAACGTTTTGGAAAACATTCGAGGAAAGGTATTATACAAAAGACATTCAGCTCCTACTTTGATAGAAACTATGATTATTCGATCCTTTTACAAAGAATCATCGATTTTTAGAAAAAACCTATTCACACAAAACTTCCTCTGTACTTCGTGTCGTATGCTCTCGGTATCTACAAAAACAGAACCATTGCATCGCATTGCAATTCATTTCCCCATATTTTATTTATCATTTTCAGCTGCATCGATGAAAAATATCTACAGTTCATTGAATGACGCAGTCATTGTTCGGTTCGCAAATCGTTGTGAAAAATAATATAAAACAACTGGACCCCGAACATTCTCTCGTCGCTCGCACGAACTTTTACAACTGCCTCTCTATCCATTTTGTTTCATTGTTTCATTTTCTCCCTCCATACCTCTCTATCTATTTACTTGTAATTTTATTCCTTTATTTTATTATATTATCTATTTATCTTGTTGGATTTTTATTTTTCTCTTTGTTTGTTGGCTTTTGTTTCAAACGTAAGTTCTGCGAGTTGGAGAAAACGGGGCGATGGGTAGGGGGGGAGGGGGGAAGAAGGAAAATAAAAGAAATTATCCGTTGTTACTGCGTTTAAGCGCCGGCTGATAATGGCACGCGCAGGAAGAATTTCTCCGTTCCGACTGTCCCCCACGTACACTGATCAAAGGGCAAAATCGAAGGAATCAGATAGAATCATAAACGTTTAATGATAATATGATAATTATTTGGGTTAAGCGTTCCATTGTAACGAGACGAAAATCGATTCTGCGAAATATCAATAAGGAACATTTAATTATTGCATGCTAATGAACGTCACAAACGTTTACTAAGAACTATAAGAAAAATGTAGCTGCAGTCAAAATAATTACATATTTTGTGTGTATGGTGATTTGGTGGATGGTGGGGGGGGGCAGAGGGCGGTAGCGGTGGATAGGGAGGTGCGGAGGTTTGCCCATCCGGTTATTCTTTTCAAATCAAAGTTGTCTAGCAATGAAAATATACATAGTAACGCGTGAATAATTATGAATGGTAAAACGACCATAAGATACACAGACGATCGGATGTAATTTTAATCATTTGCTTTCCCGATCAAAATTCAATAAACGTTAGTAAGTGAGATTAAAAACGGGACTTTAATTTGTATTTACAAATGCAAATACCATATAACACGGATACGCCATGTTCAAGGACATTCCGAGTTGCAAATATTTCAGTAATTATATATAATTTGTACATGAAAATATACACGCACACGCGCGCGCGCGCGCGCACACACACATATACGCACACAATATATATATATACATATATATATATATGCATATATCAATACGCACGTGCGTTACGTGTTTATGCGTGCGCACGAATGCATATATATATATATATATATAAATATGCATATGCATATGCATACATGTGCATGCGTAAGCACGCGCGCGCAAACGTGCATATATATATATATATATATATATATATATATATATATATGTATGTATCTATATGTATATGTATATAAATTTTTTTTCCCGAAATCTTTCTCGTTTATTTTTGAACGGTAAAACAAATAAATACTAGGTACAAAGTGTGTGGGAATTCCTTGCAATACAATTTCTGCAATCAATTGACGATGTCGCCGAAGAATTGCCGCTGGCTTTTACAATTCTAGAGCAGCGTTGGTTAATGAAGCCATCGGCAACTCGGGGGCAATGGCTTTCGTAGTGTTTTGGATTCTATCTGGTACGGTTGAAGCAATCAAAGAGAAAGTTTACAGTCTCCAAAACGTATTTATCTTTTTGTCAAGTTCGACGATCATGATGACGATCGTCATCTCATACACATTCTTTTTGCTTAAATATATCACAGGAAGTTGTCCAGAGCTCTCTTTGAATCTATCGCTCGCGACTTCCTTTCGATTTTTGCCCCCCCCCCCCACCGCTCTATTCGCTCCGCTATCTTCGGCGATAATTGAGTCTTGTCTATATCGAAACATAAAATTTGCCTATTACAATTTATATTACATTAACGAAACGAGAGCCAATGTATGAAAACTAATCGAGCTCCCTTTCCTTTCCACGTTGCCTCACGTTCTATCTCAATTACTCCAGACGCGCCAGCGGTGTACAGAGATTCATTTAATCGTCATATTCGATGTATGGTAATAAATAAATAATTAAATAAATTCGACTTTCGTCCATTCCTTTTTATAAATCACCCACACTTTCTCCAAACATTTTCATGCGCATTCTCTCCCGCTTGCTCCCTCCTCATTCGCTCTCTCACTCTTACTTTCATTCTCATTCTCATTCTCACTCTCTCTCTCTCTCTCTCTCTCTCTCACCCACTCTCTCTCTCTCTCTCTCTCGTCTGTCTCAAGCCCTTTAATCTCTACTCCTCACACATCTGTACCTCTTATATTCTCTAATGACGCGTCAGAGACTGAATCGTGTAATCGCTTCGATGAAAATTTGCGTTTGAATCAATTTTCATTCTCCGCTCAGTCCATTATTCTTCATTGTATTTTACTAGAATTCAATATAGGCGCGCGTATTCCACTCAGGAAAAAAAAAAAATAAAAATGTTCCCACAGCAGTATTTCTGAACCTTACATATCTCGCGTATGTTGCTTGTTTCTTAATTACTTTTTGTTTCTACATTAATTAATTAATTAATATTACATACGATATTTATAACTGTACGCAGATAGTTATTATCGTTTACGAATAAAGTTTATAATCGCTATAGACAGACAAACAGTTTTTTTGCGGAGCATTGCTGGCTCACAGCGAGAGCTGTTGCACCGATTCTTTTTTCGTTATTCTTTATTTTTCTAAAAATCCATCGCTCCGTGTACATTGTTCCTCCAGAATTTTTTTTCTTTTTCTCTCTCTTTTTTTATTTATTTATTTATTATTATTTTGTTTATTTATTTATTTTTTTTTACGTCACACGGTAAAATATTCAAGTCTTTTTATCCATATCCTTCTTTCTCATTTATTTGCTTGTTTATGAAATCGCGTTTGGAATTGGCTGTATATTAAAAAGAGACGAAACGTCAAAGTCAAAAGCACGAATTCCCTTCATTCGGTCACTGACTTCGAAATGAAAGACGAAAAATATCACTTTTATTATACGTAGCCATCTACGATAAGATAAGAAAGCCGTCCTTTTCATTTACAATATATATATATATATAAAAAAAAAAAAAAAAAAAAAAAAAAAAAATTAAAAAAAAAAGAGAGAAAAAAAAAGAAGTATTAAGAAGTAATAATAATAATAATAATAAAATAAAAGCAAAACCATCATCATCGCTTTTAAACGGTTCTTCCCAAGAAAGTTAGGACACGGCAATTTTTTAACAACGAAATTCGAAATCAGTGACTATAAAGTCCGACAAATCACATGAAACAATGTATGGGCCATTGCTTAAATTAATAATATTAAATAAACATAGCAGCTAGTCCATTGGTCGAATTCGCTATCAATTGCCAATTTTAACGCGTAAGAACAAAATTTAATTTATCATTTGGCATTTACATAAAGCAAGTCACATTCAATAATTTTCTACTTCATTATCAATGGTCAGTTTTTTTTTTTTTTTTTTTTTTTTTAATCGATCTTTCCTTTAATTACTAATTTTACAAACAAAGAAAAACAAAAAAATAAAAATCAAGAAAAAATACTATGAGTATTGTTTTCTTAATTAAATAATGGTATAAATTAATCGATCATGCGCACTGAAGAAATTCAATGATTATACTCGAACATTTCGTTTTTTTTCTTTTTACCTTTTGGCTATATATATATATATATATATATATATATATATATATATATATATATACACATATATATATACACATATATCTTAATTTTTTATAATACTTCCTAGTCATTTTTAACGGAACTGAAAGTAAAGCTAACATATCACTTTGCAGTTATACAAACGTATAAAGATTATCCATCGATCATAATATAAAATGGATAAGCTTTATATGTTAAAAAATAACGCTTTTTTGTATAAAATTAACTTTAATAATAAAAATATCTTTAAGAGTACGCGTAAAATCACGTGATAATGTTACTCTTCGTAAATTTCAAATTCAACGAACGCGCTCTCCAAATGATACGAATAATCTTCACAGATTGAAGCGAATGTCGTGATTAAGGACGTCGCCGGTATTAGCTAATTAACGAAATTGACAGAACCTCCAATTTACTGATTTGCGTCGTATATTTTTGTTTACTAGGTAGTTTTAAATAAAATTCAAACCTCTTGTTGTTTCATTTTATAAATATTGAGTTTATATTAGTTCTTAATGGGATATTGATCCCAGTCATAACAATATATACACTTCAATCTAATTAAAATTTTAATTATACATTATTTTTTCATTTCCTTAAATTTGAAATTACAAAAAGAGTCGTCATAATAAAATTCAGTCCCAAGTATTATTTTTCATTTAATGGAATTCAGGAGACATTCCGCTCTTCATTTGAAATCAGTGAAATGAATTCGAGAAGAATTTTTTATAATAAATTAAATGAGAAAAATCGAATAATCAGGTCAAGCCTCGATCTTTTTACACATTGAAACGGCTACTTAACGACAAAAAACATTTCTGACAATAAAAACATGATAGATGCGAAAATATATTCTGTCCTCTTCAATTTTCTCTTCTTCTTTATTTTCCATTTAATAAATAATTTATCAGCAATACAAAGACTATCCTCGTATTACAAGGCAGTTTTCATGTTTAAGGGAACTCTATTGTCTATCAAAAATTACTACCATAAAATCACAACAATGTACTATAAGATATACATGCAGAGCTGTAATAAATATGTCAAAAATGCTACAGTGAATATTATACTTTTTTACATAATATACACATTTTAATACCTATACATTATATAAAAATGTATTACATTTCACTACTAGTTGAATGGAGCAAAATAAGGTTCAACATACAAGTCACACCTCTTTAACGTACTTAAAACATTATCTAATAGTGCACGAAGTACATTATTTTTACTTAGCACTGAAGCACCGGTAAAGTAGCACTAATAAACGAAATGAGCACTATATGGCATTTATTTGTAAATGACAGGTCGCGCGTACAGAAAAGTGAGTCTCTGGACAAAAGAAACCTTATTCCCTCGTTTTGATATATCAATGTACAGTCGCAGTAACGGCTCGTAACAGTCGAATATTACAGTACACGTTTGAAAACTTTAGCGTAGCAATATGCAATCTAACATCGAATGAACGAAGCTTTGAATGCGACTTATTTCATGCAACTGCCAAAAAAAGAAGCAGGATGCGCAATCATATACACATATTCGCACATTGTCTATCTCTCGTAAAATACACACTCTCAAAACGCACGCTCGCTCGCTCGCTCTCTCTCTCTCTCTCTCTCTCTCTCACCCCTCACCCCTCACCCCCCCACCCGCTGTTTTACTAGCTCGTTCGAACTTGCTCCCTCCCGCCCCTACCCTCATCGCCCCACGCATCTATTTAACACGCATCGAGATATACAGTCGCTCCTTCCTTTCTCGTTCTTAAACTTCCAGCTCGTCGCGTCACTAATAGTAGTAGTTCAGCAAGGTCTCGCAACGAGAAAGGAAACACAAAGGAAATCAACCGCACGACTCCGTAATTACGAGCAATACATGATGGCTGTCCGTCTATGTACAGAGAAGGTGAAGATATGGGCTCCGCTCATCGTGTGGGCTGCTCGCGACAGGATTCGGGTGGCCAAGGCTCCTGGCAGCATCATCGCGACTGCGAGGCGTCCTCCTTCTTGTGCAGCTCCGCGGCGTTGTGCAGCATCGTCTGGGGCTGGCCGCCCGGCACCGGGCCAGGCGCCCCCGGTCCCGGACCCGCTCTGTGATGCATGTGCAGATTGCTCAGGGGCCCGGGGCTCGGGTCCTTGGCTCGGAGGCCGGCGACGGCGGGCGGCGGCGCCGGATAACCGGCCGCGTACAGTTTCGCCCGCTCCTCCTCTTCCTGGGCACGGTACGCCGCCGCGGCCATTAGGGGGTTGTAGCGCAGCTGCTGCAGTGGGTCGTATCTGTAGGGATCACGGAATGGATCGCTGGGCCAGGCGGGCGGCCCCGGGGCCTGGGCAGTGGTCGCGGATGGGGGCGGCGGAGGCGGTGGCGGCGGCGCGAAGTGCTGCATAGGGTGCGAGAGCCCCGGGATGCCGGACATCGCTCGGGCCATCGAGTGAGGCGCGGGCACGCCGTGGGGGTGACGGCTCTGCAGGTAGGCGTGCGGATGCGTGTGATGGTACCTGGCGGAACAGAAGGAGGTGAATGTTAGTCAAGGCTCGGCCACGGGAACAACGATTGCGCTCCTTTGGCCCGGAATCGGGCACCGAAGGGTTTCTTGTTTCGATTTTGGCCTCGTACAATCTTTAGCTTTAAGGTTCCAGGTTTGTCCAGAACTCTTCGCGTTTTTGCGAATGTTGCTTCGAACCGAATTGCCGTTGTTATAGAGAGAATAAAATGAGAGAGGGCGGGCGTGAGAGGGGAGATAACGCATTAATGCTCGGAGGTGAATAATAATTTTGTTCGTGTGCGGCGCGTCTAGAAACGACTGCTCAAGACAATAAAACGAGCGCTTAATTTATAATAAGCAACAGCAGCAGCAGCAGCAGCAGCAGCAGCAGCAGCAGTAATAGCAACAGATATTATTTATCTATTTATTTATTTATCTATTTGTTTGCTCAAGTGCGATTGTAATTGTTTTTTCTATGTCCCGTTCGAACTCTCTATTTTTATGAAATTTAAGAGCAATAATGAAGAAACTAAAGGCCAAAATGGAAACAAGAAAACATATTTTACATTGATTTACAGGATTTTCACTTGCGACAGAGAAGTTTATGATCTTAGCGCGCATAATCGTTGAATAAAAGGTTGAATATTAATTATTATGCCATTTTGTTATTGTATTGTTTTCCATACCTTATCCACTTTTCAGTGTCTTGTAACATGTTCTGCAGCTCTACACGATCATTACGTAATTCGTACTTCTCTCTGCATTTAAACAAAATGAAAACAGACGTCAGACATAGATTAATATAAGATTAATAATATTAGGGGTTGAAATAATGCAAAATTGCTGGTTTGAGTTTAATTGTAAATAATCATCTGGTGGATAAGCATATATTGATGAAGGAAATATGCTCGTTAGTACTGTATACGAGTACATTCCAATGCCAAATGTAATTTTCATTAAAAATTTTCAAAAAAAAACAAAAAAAAAACAAAAAAGAAAAACAAAACAAAACAAAAAAAGCCGAGAAAGACTAGCGTGCCACGAACCTTGGGTCGGGCATGGTGTTGGGCTGTGGTCCAGGTGGTTGCGGGGGTGCTCTCGTTAGCATTACGACGTCGTCGTCCTTACTTCTGGGCTCTTCTTTCACCCTGACCATCGGCGACGCGTCCATGGGATTGGCACCGTTCCTCAATGGCGACCTGTCCCTACCGACGACGACGTGCTGCTGTCGGCTCTGCTGTTGCTGCTGCTGTTGCTGTTGCTGCTGTTGTTGTTGCTGCTGCTGTTGCTGCTGATGATGCTGTTGCAGTAGCCTCTCGCGCTCCATCTCCCGCCTCTCCATCTCCCTACGCTCCTTCTCTCGCCTCTCGCGCTCTCGCTCAGCCGCTGCCTCCTGCTGTTTTCGCTTCTCCTCCTTTTCTCGTTCCCGACGCTCCCGTTCACGCTGCTCCTCTCGCTCCCGCTCGCGCTCCCGCCTTATGCGCTCGCGCTCACGTTCGCGCTCTCGTTCACGCTCCCGCTCTCTCTCACGCTCCCGTTCACGCTCCCGCTCCCGCTCGCGCTCCTCCATTTCGGCTCGCCTCGTGTCGATGCTTGCCGGCTCGGGCTTCATACTCCAGGCTACGGTTGTCGGGGGGAAGCCACCCGAGGCACGCTGCAACCTGTCGATCATCAGAGAAAAATAAAAAGAAGTTAGTTCGTCGTCGTTATGGCCGATTCGCTTTTTATTCTCGTGCATTATTTATTATGCCCTCGCTGGCGACAGACTCACCCTCTCCACGGATCATGAACGGAGCTAATTCCAGGCAGCGGTGGTATATCTCTGGCTGGCGGGAATGCCCAAAGCCCTGGGAAGTTTGGATTTGCAGCTGCGAAACTTTGCGGATACCTACCGAATGGCGATATTCCGGCCCCTGAAAGAAAACCAAAATTAGCCTTCATCCCGACTCAATTCCGTATATTTGAAATTACGCATGGACAAAGTTGTGGGTCGAATTCTCAATGCGCAAATCCTTGTGATAACACACATCGGATAGCGCGTCGCGATAATCATAAATTGACGTGGGCATTGATCATAAACTTTGTCATGATCATGTTCATGCGGGTGATTCGAATGCGAGAGTAAATGTACCCAAGTGCGAAGACGGCGCGGACAAGAAGCCAACGGTGTGTGAGACCGGGGGTCCCGGTGGATGCGTCTGCATGGCCGAGGAGAAGGGCGGAGGCAGCTGCGAAGCACTCATGCCCAGAGCACCGGTTGGTCCCGTCGGAAACAGATGACCCGGCGGTCTCAGTAGTTCCGTTTTCGTGCTCACGCCACCAGCTTTGGCCTCCGCTTGTTGCTTCTGCTGATGATGATAAATCTCCCAGGCTATGCGGACGTGCATCGCGTTCCATTTGCCAGTCTTCTGTTAATGCGCAACAAACAGTAAATTAGATTTCATAATTGTCCAAGTGTTGCTTAAAGAACAAATTGGAAGAACGAGTATAACGATTGGGCCATTCGATGAAATCAGATAGTTTATTCGTTTGGCCTCGCAACTCAAGCTGCGTACTCGTTTAATTGTTTATTTCATAATGGTCGTTCGTTAAGGACGACGTTGCGAGCGTGTAGGCAAAATATTGTATTTGTGGTGAAATTACCGTGGGTGCATAGGACGTGACATGAGTTGGCGGGACGAAGGGCGTTGAAGGAGGTCCTATACCAGGATGAAGAAGGCCAGCATTGAAACCCGAATAGTTGCCGAGATTGAGATTCCCTCGAAAAAATGGAGAGTCCACTCCACCCAGCTTTGGAATGTCCTTGAACTGCAAAGGAGAAAGGGGGAATGAGAATGAGAATGAGAATGAGAGAGAGAGAGAGAGAGAGAGAGAGAGAGATTTGTAACGTTTATGATAAATAAAAAAGATTTGTAATGTTTGTGGTAAATAAAAAAGATTTGTAAATTTAGTCAATTTTTTTTGTCTAACGAATAATCATAGGAAAGAAAAATAAAGAAAAAATTAAAACGAAAGGAGAGAAGTTGTTGATGTAATGTTAATGTAAATAAACTTGTTAATATATCTTCCCGTTTCTCTCGAATCATAATACATTCGTCTTGAATGACCTTTGACTTACAAAAGCAGGGGCAATATATACTGATAAAAATTTATATTTATCAGCACCAAATAAAATTGTGCCCATTAGTTACATAAATAATAAGAAATTAAAATATAAAACTTATATAAATTTAAAAGGCAAGTCGATCGTTTAATTATTACAACACACATTAATAATAATAATAATAATAATAATAATAATAATAATAATAATAATTATTATTATTATTATTATTATTATTATTATTATTATTATTATTAACGCCACTTACAATCGGTGGTGGGAAGAGCGAAGTTGCCGTTGGTGGCGGCAATATGGGCGTCGTGTGTTGATGGACGTGCGTATGTTGATGTTGGTGATGGTGCATTTCCGTCCTGAGATAAGGTGGCGGGCCAATGTTGCCTACGTTTCTGTCCTGCGAAGCCAAGAATCGATTGTCCAGCTCGCGACGTAACAAGTCCGTTTGGCCCGACACGTGACTCACACCTATTTTTGATTCTACATTTTACAATAGTATTGATGTTCGGTTTGCGAGCGAGCGAGCGAGCAGAGACGGGCGATTAGCGCTGCCCTTCTCGAGAAACTCCATTTCAAGCAACACGGGGTGCTTTATGGTGCGGGACGCCCAGCTGCTTTTTGAATGCTTCGATGGCGTCGCCGCATTAACAGTACGGAATTTCTCGAATTACGATAACGACATCGTCTCGTCTCTGCCCTCGCAATTTCGCGCTAAACTCGCATGGCTTACTTGTTTGAAACAGCGACTCTGCTGAGAAGGGATTAGGATTGGAGGTTGGTGGAGGAAGCGAAGGCAAGGAAGTGTGGGGACTCGAGCTGGAGACAGGCGGTGGCAGTGGCGCCGCGAACATCGGCGGTGGAAATGTGTGCAGGCTCAGTGGTACCGGCGGGGGTGTCGGCCGTGGCACTGACGTTGCCGTAGCCGGTGACAATTGCGAAGATGTGCTGTTGCTGAAACGATCATTAAAACGATCAGTATTCCAGCAAAAATTATTCGTACTCCAGTACTCTGCGGTGCACAACGTTTGCTATTTCCTCGAAATGCGCAACACAGTTCTTATCTTCCATACGTGGATTATTTATACTTTTATTATTAATATTATTATTAAAGAATTGCAATTATAACAATAGAAAATAAATAATGATGGCGATAACAGCGGCGGCGACGACGACTACAAATACTTGTGCAATCCACCGTCTATGACTTAAAGAGAAAAAATGGATACTCGATTAATGCAACAACATTATTATTGATTTACTAGTTAAAATTATTTTACATTATTCTACACACTATTCTACATTTAGAAATATTGACAACAAAATAAATAATAAAAGTAATTATACACGTTATGTATTTGATTTCCTGACGAATATCAAACGAATTATTATACTCGCAATATCTTAATGGTTTCAAATCTGATATTAAATCATTAATATAAATAAACGTTTTTTATGTTGATCAAATATTAATCGAGTTTCGAGCTTACCAATACGACATTAGAAAATGCACGAGATCGAATTCCCGGTTTATTTAATCATTGGCCGAATTTATTAATTCTCATAATGGTACAGAAAATTTACGAAAGAAAGGACGATATTTCATCTTACCCGATCCACCCTTGAGCCTTTGAGTATGCAGGTAGACTAGAATTGGCCGGGGAGGAAGTGTTTGGCACGCTAACCGGTGTTATACTACTTCTACTGAGGCTGCTCACGTTACTGCTGTAACAATAAGTTTTATTGCATTATCAAACTACTAATCCAATGTATTGCTTGTGCATGGATGTGAGTGGGAGCGAGCGCACGCGTGCTTGTGTAAAAATCACTGATTACAGCTAAATTATAAACTTAAAACTAAAATATAAATGATTGCTGATATATTAGACTAAATTTGCAATCTTCATTGAGTGTATTGTTAATTGAGAAAATCGTATATAATAATAGAGTAAAGATAAATAATTTTTATTAGGTAATTTTGATGTGGCGTAGTTGTTTAAATTTAAATCTCTACCGCGACGCAAAAAACTTCTTTTTTTTTTTTTTTTACAACATTTGGACTTTAAGGGATAATTTTTCTATTCATTGGGGTTTTTTTCCTTCTTTTTCCTTTTTTTTTTAAATGAATTTTCAAAGATAATAATAATGTACCAATCAATAAAGGATAATGAAAATTTCCTTCCAGCTGACTGCGAAAACTGGCATAACTCATAGTGCACTAACTAGAGAAGTATAAGAAAAATCTTTTTTTTTCTTATAAACTAACACAATCAACTTAAAAACTGTAAAAAAAATATTAAAACTTTAAATTATCATTGATCGTGCTGGAAAGAAAAACAGAGCAAATCGATATTAAATGTTTATGGAATTAATATGGGTTTTTTCTTTCTTTTTTTTTTTTTCTTTTCTTCATTTCTTTAACCAATTCGTCGATTTATATTTGTAACACACATTCGAAACTTTCAATTATACCATAACAAATTTTTATGACATTTGTTATTGCTCGGATAAAGAAAAGTAATGATTTCCAGATATCCAATTATAACTATGTTTACCGAGAATTTCTTCAAATGCAAATTAAAATTCAAGGAAATAATTTATTGGCTAGTTTATCGTATTCACGAATATATTTTGATAAAATTGACGTAAAATTTGCCTAATTGCTAAAACGGATAAGTAGCTGCATTTTGTTTATCCTATGCGTTGATTTCAAAGTTTCTTAAGGCACAAATTTTATTACTTCTTGCTCTATTACAAAACAATAGAGGTAAATAGAAAAACGAATAAAATAATAATCGATATTAATAGAATCCAGCTAAAAGGAATTAATTCGTAAAATAAATCAGCGAGTACTGTTGCTTTATCGCCACGAATTTTTTTATGCATGATAATATCGAGTGCCCGATCATAATTGGAAACTCGTATTATTTTTCTTTCTCAAGTAGGATCTTAATATTACTTTAATCACTCGTGAGCAATATTAAATGACATTGGCTTTGAGCGGAAGAGTTGCAAGCCAATCAAAATCCCGTTGCATTAGCTATTCACAATAATCCACAATTATCACGGATACATAAACTAAATTATATTTACATTACAGACTCGTAGATCAACATTTACCTATAGCTATCACGCTCTCGATTTGGACTGTGTCCCCTTGGCGAATTGTTGTTCCTACCGGCCAAACTGCAGGCGACTACGTCCCTGTGGGCAATGGCATTGGCCGTCATCACAGTATTCGTAACCGTCGAGACACCGCAGGTCGTCGTCGTCGCACTCAGCGGTATACTGCTGCTATTGATGCCGCTGTGATTGTTCGTCGCGACGCTACCTATCGTTGACTTGCTCAGGTTTGTACAAGGGGACGCTCGACTATTCCGCTGTAAATTAAATTTTATTACATTAGGCACGAGTTTTACTTTCACGTGGACGAAGGCGCGACATAATCTTATCCCGCAAACAGGCCGATACCCGATATTATCATTCTCGAGCTCTTTTTAATACGCGTATTATTATAGCTTTTTTTTTTTTTTTTTACAACAAACAGCGTAAATGTATTTTCAAATACGAAGTATTGTTGAAAAAACCCGCGTATGGGAATCGGTATACTCTCTTATATGGTAGTGGTATTTTACATTTATTAATATTCGGGCAAATTAGCATTAAAATGTAGGAGTGAAAAAGTGCCTGGGACCTCCGAACCTTGCATTTAATTTCTCCGTACGTCCAATAATAATGACAATAGGCTCGAAAGTCCATACTATCCAAATATTAACGTATAAATATAATAATCTTATCGTTGTCTCAAACATATGAATGGCATTTCATGTTAATATTAAAAAAAAAAAAAAAAAAAAAAATATGAAAAAAAAAATGACATTCCTCTCGAATTCAACATAAATAACTCTGCTGTCGCGTTACAGTGAAAATTTGTTTTCGTTAATCTTGATGATAGCAATGAGAAATTCAACGAGCCAAACATTTATTTCCACGTAACGATGTATCCGAGGACTATTTGATAATTAATTTTGTCGATAAATACAATTTAATATTCCCTTTATTATTGAAGTCGACCCAATTCAATTATAAATACACAGTGTGCTTTACTAAATGAAATTTTCGCAAGATAAAATAATCTTTATAAAACAGCGAAAACAAGTGCATTTAACGACGGGGTCGCGCGTGACGGAATCACGCTAATTTTTACATCGAGTTTTCACATAAGCGCATATAATTATAATTTAAAATGCAAATATTGCAGTTACGCAATTATTATCGTCGCGGGTGTATAAAGTATTGAAAAACATGCGAAAGAGAGTGGTGGAGAAATGGCTTGAGAGATTTACGAGAGGTTGCGTTAGCGAATATACAGGATGTCGGGTGAGATCGCGAGAGCCCCGAATGAACGATAACAAAGCCCGGGCGAACCAATAATGCCAGATGCAGTGTCGTCGTTCTCTCGAAGCTCTCCAAGTGCAAATAAGTAATAAACAAGTAACTCACGATGTCGGTGCGCGATGAGGCCGAATGCGAGGGCGATGACACCGCGGGCGGCAGGTACGGGCTATGGTTCAAGGCAGTGTAGGGCGTGTAGAGGGGTGGATAGGACGGGTGGGTCTGGGGATAGGCGGCCATTGGCAAAGGTGGTGGGTACGTGGTGGTCGCGGCGCCATTCGACGGAGCTGCCGGTGCAACGCCAAGGCTCGCCACCGCCGGCGATGTCGTGTGAGACGAGGACGAGACGAGAGGTACATTGGGCGGATGCAGCGCCGGTATGGACGTGTGTGGTTGCGGCAGCTGCTGCGGTAGTTGCTGTTGTTGTTGCTGCTGCTGCTGCTGCTGCTGCTGTTGTTGTTGTTGTTGCTGCTGCTGGTGCTGATGCTGATGCTGATGCCTGCTGTTGCTGTTGCTGCTGCATGGGTTGCTGTAAGGGCAGCGGTTGCTGCTGCTGCTGATTCGGCTGTTGGGATGTCTGGTGCAGCTGATGTGACAGTTGCTGCTGCTGCTGCTGTTGTTGTTGCTGCTGCTGCTGTTGCTGTTGCTGTTGCTGTTGTTGTTGCTGCTGCTGGTGCTGATGCTGATGCTGATGCTGATGCTGATGCTGTTGTTGTTGCTGCTGTTGTTGTTGGCAGAGAGAGGGCGGGGGTAGGGCCGGGGACACCGGCCGTTGCTGCGGGGCTATTGCACGTGGATTCGCTGCTAGCGGACTAGTCATCTACAGGGCAGAAAAATAAAGGAACTCAGTGATGAAGCCTTGGTAAACACGGTGCTTGTACATCTGCGCGGACGATTGTAAGGGACCTTGTTTTTTGTTTGTTTTTTTTTTTTGTTCAATTTGCTGACTACTTCCACTTACGACGTAACGGCGCTCTCCTGCCATTGTTATATGTGGAGTGAAAACACGTAGCGAGAATTTCCATTATGAAGGACATAATTTTCTATTTACAACGTTAAAGCGGATACACGCTTGACAACGCCGCGAGATTTACGACCTTACGCGTTAATTTTTCTCGCGCAACTTACAATTTAATTTTGCCTTTTGCAGAAATATATTTCCCAGCGTTGTAATTTTCGCAAAAATGAGTGTATAGCTAACGTTTTAACGAGATGAAATGAAGAATGTGTCGCGTTTGGCAATATTTGTTGAATTATCCAAAGCAATCATCGGCTGCGGTTAATGTCTAGTATTTTGTTAAATAATTATTATCACGCAATTGATATTTAAGCGAGTAAATAAAGCATCGATCGTTGTTGTATAGTTTAACGTTTGATTGGCCGAGCAAGCGATCGAGTGCAGGAAAATTTTCTCGAGTTCGAGTGATTATCGTGATTTGATTTTTTATTTCAGATTATTGGTGAAAGATAAAACCACGGGGATTAGTCAATTATAATTATAAAAACGTGTATATAAATAAGCCACTTGTAACGTAGCTCATTCGTAATACATAATAAATGGCATCCAATGGAATAGCATATTTTTCTATTTGGTTAATTGCTGCTAATCAAATTGTAATGGTCAACGAACGAGCCACTAACTAACAATTAAATCAAAACGCCATTACAATATTACAAATAATTACATGCTGCCGGCTAAATATAATTACCATACGTTAATGACATATTCTACACCGCGCATTGACACACGAAAAATAAACTTTCTGCGTGTATGCGAGGATTTTGTGCGCAGGTAAAAACTTTTCGATTCATAGCCCTTACTTTTTACAATAAAAACAAAAACAAAACAATGGAAAAACAGCCGAATTGGCTCTCGATTCAAGAATTAAATAATAATAATAAAAAAAAAAAAAAAAAAAAAAAATTAATTCAAATTTCAAGGATATCTTTATAAAAAGATGTAAATATTAAATGTAGACATAAAAAGTGTATTATCATGGTCCTCGTGAATTTATAGCCACATAAATGCCATACACGAGCACCAATGTTTCCGATTGATGCCCATAACTATATATGTCACGTAAAATTATAAAAAAAAAAAAAAAAGTTTACAGCTTATAAAACATACACTTTTCACTTGTCTTTTAAATATGCCGTTCTTCCTACGAAGGACTATATATTACCATCGCTACGCGTTCTTTCCCCATGATCTTTTCCTTCAAAATTACAATGAAAATCATCAGCCGGCTAAGAGGTACGACAGGTGATTCCCACCCACCCCTTTGAAAGGACCAGATTCTACACATGGAGCTGGCACTATCTTTAAGCGAAAATCTTCATCGAGACAAAATTACAAGAAGCTTCATAAAGTGCGGACTATTTTTAACGGGATTCCCTTAGAAGAGAGAAATCCCACAAATCAGTCACGCTAATGATCGGCATTCGAGGAGTTACTACCGACCGATTTCCAGCACTTACCCAATGAAAAGACAATAAAGCTGACGAGGAAATAATACTCGAAGCTCCTCGTTAGTAACTCACGTCTCCCCGTCTTCGTCTCAACGACCTCTCGTCGACGACAAGCGCCGCTCGAAAATTCGCCCTCGCTCTTATCCCTCTCCCTTCAATAAACAACGCGTTGTATTAGTAGGATATGGTATACTCACGGGTGGTTGGGATATGTGTGGAGGTAACGTGGGGCTCGGAGGACTGGGCGCCGTTGGGACTGGCGCGGTGGCAGGCACAGGAGGAGGAATCGGCGCCGGGGCATCTGTCGCAGGATTCGAGATCTGGCCGCCGGTATCTGGTGGCGATCCTCCCGCCCCGTTCGCCGGAGGCAGCACGTGCGGTGAAGAAGATGGCAGCTCGTCTAAGAGAAAAAGCATGGCTCAGTTGGGTTTAAGGTATCGCCGCGGGCGTCGGCCGAGTGCCCGATAATTCGCGTAAGAACAAGGTGCGAGCGAACATTGGTGGCCGGGTCGCGAGTGTCGTTATTAATTCCGTTCTGCTCGTCGACTTGGCTGCCAACGATTTATGGAGCCGAGTCGACGATTAATTTTAAATATGGCGATATTCTAGTTTTTTCGATTTCTGGAATTTTTTTTCTCTATTTGCGCATCGAGACGAAGGCGTGGAAAAACTTTTTAATGCCCTTGTAGGCGCTCGACTATCGCGTGCTAGTAATGTTAAGCCTTAAATGATATTTGTACAGAAACATTTGTTTAAATACGATCCTTCGCTTTTATCGCTTAATCCAGTCAAAGGCTTAGTTTCAACAGATGCAAAATTTTATTCGTCGTATTGTTCCGCACGAACGCGGCCGCAATAGATAAAGTCTACACGGCGCGCGCGCGCGCGCACGAGCACGGGCACGCACAAATAAATAAATTAATAAATAAATAAATAAATATATGTATGTATGTATGTATAACAAAAAACATAAACAAGAAAGGAAGATTTACATTTACGTGCAAGGGGTGGTGGGGTAGAAGACTCAAAGAGTATCGATTCCGCATCCGAGTTCTGTAACAGAAATGAAAACAGTGCGGATGAATTTTTTTCTCTTTTTCTTCGCGATTATCGCGCTACGGCAATTAATAATATATAATAAGTGGCCCCTTACCTTATCGTCTTCTCCTTCACTATCACACTGTGGAATAAAATTATAACTGCGTTAATATTCGTGTTGACTCCTCTTTTTGCTTATATTACTTTAAGTAAATAGAGATTTTGCTTTGCCAGAAAAGAAAACGAAAATACTTACGATATAACCTTTACCCGAACTGCAATGACTGCTAGCCTGTGAAGCAAAATTTTCATGCTCTTTACGTATACGCAATAATCATTAGACAATTATTGTTTAAGTTTTCATTTAAGTACTTCATTGTGAACAGGTGATCGCTTTATTTCTATTACCATTATCATTCGTTATTTCTTATCTTTCGTTCTTTTATTGAACTGAATTACTCTTATGCATTCACTAAAAAGCACACTGCTGTGCTTGTATTATTGAAATATGTTATGTATTTATCCGGAATATTAATATTTGTCATGAAAATAATGTAGCGCGCGTTGTATCGAGCATCGTATAGGATAGACGTTGACTTTTCTGTTTTGTTTGAAAATTTTTTATAATTGTAGTCGCCTCCCAATTTGTGAAACTTTAATGCCATGTGTATATATATATATATATATATATACAATGTTGACAGTGATCAATGAAATTCCAATTGAATGCGAATGAACGACACTTGAACACGAACGCGTGTTTTTTCTTTTTCCCTTGAACTCGTTTGATTAATAAACATCATATGGTATACACGCGTATGAAATATATATTAAAATGAATTTTATGAAAATATGCGTGCGTAAGTGCGCGTGCGCGTGCGACTATCAATCGCGCTTGTCGAACGATTCGAATTATATTTATATGGCTTACGCGTTATAGTCCATGATGTTTTCAAAATGCTTATTTAATCAGCATTGTAAAATAAGAAAGTAGTAGCGTTTACGGAATTGTGGGTCCGCGTAAGTATGTATGCAAGTATAGGTGTAGGTGTGCACTTATTATGGAATCATGTATATATATATATATATATATATATATATATATATATATATATATATATTACAGAAAAACTCTATAAACACACAAAAACTCGATTAACAATCAAACAATTTTTCTGTTTGTTTCTTTATGACAATTATAAAAACATAATGTTTAATCATACTCCGATTAATCGGAATATAAAAATGTAATATTTGTTAACTATTTATTTTTATCGCGTATAATAAAAAGTGTGTATAAACATGACTGATAAATCGACAATAAAATTGGCTCTCGCAACAGCTGACGATAAAAATAAGGTAGAAAAAAAATAAATAATAAAAAAAAAAAAAGAAAAAAAGAAAAAAAATGAAAATACGAAAATACAAAAATATGAAAATAAGTATTAAATGAAATATCGGAATGAATATTGGTTGAATGGAGATCGCTTTGGAGCCACTTAACAAGAATAATTACACATTGCATATAATACCGATAACGACGAATTCAGCCACAATCACATAATTATCGCCGGTTCGTGCCCTCTACACTTTATGTTTACATCCAAACCAGCGGGTCAATAGAAAAGGGCATTAAATACGAAAGGGCTGGTTATCATAAAACATTATCTTAGGCGAGGCAGCGGTTGGCCGAGTCAAGTGCCTTTCCGCAATTAAAATAGCTGCGAGCCGATTAAAAGTTCCAGATACATTAACTTTTACAAATTCGCTGAAAGACTTGACTTTGTTAAGCGACTGACTCGACGAAGGGGAAATAATCTATTTTTACGACCGAAGTTACGTAGTCCCGCTTGCTGGACGCATAGAAAATGCGAGCCATTCCGTGGACAAGTGTGACAAAGACGAGGATGAACGTGTAGTAGTCGATTGAATGCGAGGGAGTATGAATGAAACCACCCGAGGATGGATGCGGGCGCCACAATCCGCACGTCATTCCCTCGACAAGCGCAATCATACGTCGACGGACACTTACATCGCTGAGATGGTCCCTGGAACTGTCGGCGTCCTGGCTATCCCTCGGGATGCCAGAGCCGTGCAACTGCTCGGAAGCTCTTCCGCTGTCGTCGCTCGTGCCCGCATCTAGGCCCTGTGACGTACACAAACAAACAAAATAATCAATAGCCGGCGCGGCACTTGCTCTCCCTTAAATCTGGACTTATTTTTAATTGCGCTCGCTCGCGAAGTTAAGCGAAGTGTGTTATTAGGACGTTAAAAATAGAGAGGCACACACATCGATTAGCCTCTTATTTTTCCCTTCCGTCATTTTCTCTCCTCTACATCTGCTTCCACCTATTCGTCTTCGTCTTCGTTCATTCTCTCCTTTTTATATTATTTTGCATGAAACATCTGACGTTCGCTCGGCGAGAATAATAATAGACGTTCGTTATTTTGATACTTTTGATATAGAGCGTCTCGGTGACGCTTAAAGTTTATACTTAACGGGAGACCGGTGAAGTTATTCGATTTAAAGTGTCTTTTTACTCTTGCGGAGTAAGTGCAATCTCGCATGCTGAGGGCCAGCAGCGAGTGTGGTGAATCATTAACTCGACGCTTTCCGAGTGACATAGGATTGTCACGATATGTCTTATTTATCGGGAGAATTATTATATTTAATGGCCTTGCAGCGCCAATGCCGTTAATGCCAAATCGAATGGTGAGTAAATAAAAGCCGCGCTCGTAATGCCAATGGGAAATCCATTGTTCGTTGATTAAAGCGTTGAGAAGATTTCCACGGCTCGCGATGGCAAAGTTTATGTAAATACGAAGAGAAAAAAATATTGAAAAGCCAAACGGCCGAAGGCAATTTAATGTAACGCATCGTCGAGTGGCGGCCGGCGTTATAACGAGTCGGTGTTACTAGTATTTTCCTGAAAATTGATGTTTCCGATAGGCGTCGATTGCAGTTAATAGATGAAGAGTATTACCTGGTTTAGCGTCGAGGGTGTCAGTATGGAATTATGCGTGCTGTAATGGTTGTGCTTAAAGTGGTTTTTAATGTGGTGGTCGTTATGCCGGTTATTCTGTCCCGTGTCCACCTTTGGCTTCTCCTCCGCTATTGACAGTAACGAATGCAGTTTCTTGAAGTTATTTTTGCCGGCTAATTTTATTGCACTCTGTAATCACGCAAAACAAATGCCCTCGCGTTAGTTTATACATATACATACATATATATATATATATATATATATATATATATAAATATAGATAATTATTAATTGATAATAAGTGGATGAAAAAATTAACGAGAGAGTGAGAGAAAGAGAGAGAGAGAGAGAGAGAGAGAGAGAGAGAGAGACAGAGAGAGAGAGATTATTAATTTATGCATGACGCAATCGGGGAATTAAGTTTCAAAACCAGTCTTATCTATTGTAACTGATACGTCGACAACGTAAAATAAATTTCAAGTAAATTTTTCAACAATATGATAGTATAGGCTCGGGGGCTTCGTATTATAATCGGATATTCTAAGATAAGTAAGCTCTTTGAATAATAATACAGTATTTATAGACTAAGCGAATTAATGCTTTAAAACTAAAATTATGCATGTACGCGCGGGCTCGCTCACCTACACATGTACAAATTGCAAGGAATGCTCGTATCAATTATTCGCAAAATCATCTTGCTACAGCTAATATAAAATGATTGGAATTTTTCTTTTTCCCTTTTTATATATATATATATATATATATATATATATATATGTATATATATTAATTAACATAGCCGTTAACTTAGAAATATTGCTCAAGTAGCATCGCTAATTGATTAAATGAGTTTAAAATATGATTAGAAAGATTACGTGGAACGAAATAAATTTTCTTCAAGTGGTTAATTGCATTATAGTTTCTACGAAACGGGAAAATATCTTTACGCAAGTGACACACTGGGCGAATCTTCACGATTTTAATCATATTATCCTCGCGTTTTATTCGTTCTTCAATCGCATTCGCTACGTTAATTTGCCAGTTTATCATTCGCAAAAAATATAAATGCAATAACGTTACTTGCTTTTGAAAATGCCAAGTGAGCGAACGATTGAGTACGAAAGGAGTAGGAAGACGGATGAAGAAAGAAAATTCGTCGTTAATTTAATATTGAAAATAAGGCCAATTGGAATAAAAGAGTGAAAAAGCTACCGAGTCGCAAATTGAGATGTGAATTCGCGAAAGGCGATTACAAAAAGGTATAAACGTCTAAATCGGCTAATAAACTGCGATCACTCGAATGTCATACGTTTTTCTCCAATAGACAGACAGTTTATCTCCAACACTCGGTCCCCGCGTACCAAGTATATCGGTGCGACGGAGCGCGTGTAGCAAGTAACCAGTAGCGAGTAATAACGTACGCTCAATGCAATTTGTGCATTGTTTTAGCTCAATGCAAGTATCGAGGCGGAGATTTAGCAGGGAGATTAAACCTTACAGCGTATCGGCAATTTAAATAATAAATAAAACATGAATATATATATATATATATATATATATATATATATATATATATCGCATCGGCTCGAGTTGCGCGGATAATACGCCTCGACGTCGTCTCGGACATTGCCAAATTGACACGAACTTCAACGGCTCTCGTCGGAAGCTTGTAAACACACTCGGGCAATTAAATCTCCATTACAATTGAGCCGGGAATTCAAAGAGCAGCGAGAAAAAAAAATGCATCCTCATACTTCATTCACGGCCCGGTCATCCCCCGCCCCGTCCAAACGGCACGTGTTTCGTCTTCGAGGAGGCCGAGCGTGAAAAAAACCTCGCATTGCAACAAATATCGTCGGGCGGTGGGGTAGGGTGAGGTAGGGTTGGGTGGGGTGGGGTTGGGTAGGGTAGGGTAGAGGCAAGGGGAGAGGACGCACCGAGCGCGTGAATACAAATTTATCGCCGTGGCGTCAGTTACGAGTACGCGTTGTAAAGAGCGACGAAAGGGGTGGGGCAGGGGTAGGGCCCGCGGCGGTAGCTACTTGATTAAGGGGAGAGGAGGGGTTGTGGCGAAAATTTTTGGGGAGGGGGTTGTCACGGGAAGCGGCGTGGAGTAGGACGAGGGGTTACGGGGTTAGGGGGAACGGCGGTCGAATGACTGGAGGAGGAGGAGGAGGAGGAGGAGGAGGTAGGAAGGACTGGAGGGGAGCAGGGCCGACGCGACGAGGGGCAGGGGGTGCGATTCGAATAAGGTCGGCAACGGCGTGCATATGGCAAGTCAGACATCGGCTCGCTCGTTTCTTCTCTCGGCAGCCGCAAAGGCGAAGTAGAGAAGATTGCGTTCGGGGCGCAGTGCGCAATCGTGGCTCTCAAAATGGCCATTACCGTGAGGAGGAGCACGTGTGCAGGGTAAATTATCGGGACGGGCTTACGGAACTAGTGACTCTTTACTTACGTGCCTGATTCACGTCCACGTCCAGCGCAGGTCCGGGAGCGCGGGTGAGAGCACGCGCGCACAACACGATCCTTAATCGACCCGATTGATCTCGCGCACACGCGTGCGGTGAGAGTCGAAAAGAAAGTGAGCGAGAGAGAAGGACGATCAGCCGGTGAGTGCAACGGCTCAAGGTGTGCGCGCGCGAGGAGCGCATCCGTGGTTGTAATGCGCGACGGCGGCGACGGTCGCCGTCTCCCTCTCCGGCGGTGCGTCGGTGCGTGCGACGCTCGGCGGCGGCGCTCGCGAGAGGGGGATGATATCGAGCGAGGGAGGGGCGGGGAGGGACGAGACGACTGGGCCGACGAGGGGACGCCGAGGGAAAGGGGGTCACTCGGCGGATTGCTGGGAGGGGAGAAAGAAGACATTGACCGAAGGAGCGCGACGACGCCGCTCTCCTCGCCGCCACGGCTAACCTATAGCTGAAGGAGGGAGCTCGAGGGAGGGAGAGAGATTCTGCCGAGAGCTGCTGCTACTGCTGTTGCTGCTGCTGCTGCTGCTGCTGCTGCTGCTGCTGCTGCTGCTGCTGCTGCTGCTGCTGCCGCCGCCGCCGTCGCTGCCGCCGCCGCCGTTGCCGCTGCCGCCGCTGTTGCTGTTGGTGCTGCTGCTGCTGCTGCCACCGCCGTCGTCGTCGTTGCTGTTGCTGCTGACGCCGCTACTTTTTCCTTCCAAAGACAGAGGATTTTCTTTTCGCGATGCCTTGGCCACTGGAATGTGGTAGAAAATCTATGCGCCTCGTGCTTATTTAGCAACGGCAGCGACGACGAAGACAACGATGGCATCGGCATGATTGCGCAAGCGAGTGCTTCTTTATTTTTATGTAACTACGGGCTTGCTACTTTACTTTTTTTAATGTCAAAGTACAGGAAGCCGCAACTTTGCTACGCGAATTGGCCGTACATTTTCTGGCACGGAAATCGACCTCCTCTTCACTCTGTCATTTGTACTTCTGCTTTTTACCGTTTACTATTTTACGTCATTTTTCAACAAAGCGTGTCTGTTCTATTAAATTATCATATCACTGTTGTGATATTTTCATCTAGAGGGGCAAATTTTCTCCCGTATATTTTAATAAGCACTCGCTCCAATTCGGTTGCCTATTTCATCTTGCATATCCTTCTTCCTCGCGTTAACGTGTATACACACGTAGTTTCATGCAAAGTGCGATAAAGTATCGACCGAAGTGTACCAAAGTCGTTTTGGGTTATGAAAAATTTACGGGAATCGGACCAGACGTATATATATATATATATATATGTGTGTGTGTGTGTGTGTGTATGCAAATAGGCCCGTCCATACCTGTCCCTCGGATAATTTTATATGCCTGTCGACGATAGCCGCTTGATTGGGGACCCTTTACATAACTATTTGGGATTCAAAATTTTTTGTAAATGAAACGGCGATAATTTTATTTGTAGGCATTAAACGAAGCGGGCTTTGTTAAAGCCAATCTTATTATAATATTTTGGTCGGTAGGCGGTCGGTATGCAAGTGACAAATAAGCAATTTTTAAAATGTTCTTTTTATAATAATGTCTATGCTAATTAAGTAATAATTTATTAGATTAGTTAGCGTCAATATTGATTATTATGGGCGAGTATACTTTTCGAAATCGAACGCATAACAAGCATGTATGAGTCTTTTTGTATCCAATTTAGCACATCTGCTCAGTAAATTTCCTTCACGTTACGTTACATTATTTTGTGCAACAGCCTGAGTAATTGTAAATGTATACGCTATAATATGGATTATTTAAGCAATGTCTTCCCTCGTTTTCCCATTGCCTCGATCCACTGACCATAAAATGATTATCGTTGTAAGGAATTTCTTTGGTCCGTTCTGAGAAAATATAGCCGTTTAACGTAACGGCAAGCAATGCTTTGCGATTTTCGTATTCCATTGGATCACGAATGAATTCGAGCAAGTGAATAACATTGCGTTAACTCTCGAGCTGCCGCACGTATAACATAATCGCAAATAACAAACGGACAGTCTCTCTCTCTCTCTCTCTCTCTCTCACTCTCACTCTCTCTCTCTCTGTGTGTGTTTGTTTATTTGTTTGTGCCCGCGCGCATGTGTACATCTATCTATATGCATCTATATAATGCACATAAATAATGGGAGAACTCGAGCACGAGATCATAAAACAATAGCGGGCCAATCAATTCATCGATAAGCGATCGTAGAAACCAGACCGAATAACGCGATTTAACAGCTAGGTTTATCAGATTCTATATAGACTATAGAGACGGATGATAGTTAAGCCAAAGACGAAGATGTGCGATCATTGTGAAAGATATCTGATGTTGCGATAAGTGAAATTAGTGTTGTCTCGCATGTGAGAAAGACTTGGATAAGGAGAAACCAGTGTCATTAGCTACTTTGTTAAGTCGTCGTGGCGCGATATGAAACGTTAATTGTGTATAATGACATAACAATGGGAACGGGCAATTCTTATCATTCGTAAATTTCACTTGCTTTCGCGGGGCATTTGCTACCTCAACTTTACCACCGCGCCGCTGTTATCCTACGCACGGATTAATGACTCGACGGTCATAAAAACGCGGCAGCAGATTGAAATTGTAGGTCGCGCGTAGGCGAGGACGTCCGTACCAGCATCGCTTGCTTTTTTTTCATTCTTTTTTCATTTTTTTTTCCCTTCCGATTCCCGTTAACAGCTGACAATTAATAACGG